CCCCAAAACCCCAAAACCCCAAAACCCCATTCATGTTTTCCGAAATTGATAAACTTAAATTATGGAAACAATCCTTGAAGTAACAGAAAATGCTTCAAAGTAATTAACCAACCTCATTCCATAGAGACAAGAGCTCCTTTCTGTTGAAGGGAGGTGATAGGACAAGTTCTTTCTCAAAGGGATGCATCAGCCTCAGAAGATACACAGAGGAGAAAATTGTTCATTGCCAACTTGAAAAGTAAATTTCATAAAGCCTAAACAATATTTCGAACAACTATAGGGAGAATATTGGCATTATTCATTCAGAAAAGAAGCATCAGCCAGGCTTGAAGATCACTAGAGGTACTTCCTGTCCTTATGTGTTATTAATATCTTATTTCAGAGAGTTCTTTACTTCAAACCCAAAAGTCTGGTCGGAACCTGATCAAAAATGAAGAAAGTGATATCTTCCTGACTCCTAGAAGTAAGTCTGGATCTAAGACACAGGTGGTTGCCTAGCAGACATGAACTGTATCACCCCAAGCCTACAGAAGTAAGTACATCTCTAAGTATTTAGAAGAGTGGAGACTCCTATCAGGAAGGAGGATGTCTTCCAGTCACCTCTGTTCTCAACCATTGGTATTGGTCCAGGCTTAAGCTTTAGAAATGGAAAGCCAGACTGGCGGCAATAGCTCCGGCCAAAGGACAGATGGAAGAGAGTACTTCGAAGCTGTCGAAGAGAAAAAGATTGTACATCAGAAAACTCCATTGAGAGAGAGACGTTTTGGTAGCAATGAGAGGGTTGATTCTGTTTTTCCTTTACTTCCAGAAACTCCAGAAGATATTAAGAAGAAGACTAGTAAAAGACAGCTACGCACAGGTAATGAACTCTACTAAGAGGAATAATGATCTATATTTTTGGAGCTTACTCAAGATGTATATCTTATTTCAAATTCATATTCCCTCATTATCAATCATAAGACTTAACCCCAAATCTTCATTTAGAGTGCAAGAGCAGATTGAACAGTTTGAAAGATAACTTAAGTAATGATCATAGTCAATCTTTAGAGAATTCGGTTAAGCTAAACTTGAGTCTGGATCCTGCAAAGCTTCACAGAATGGGTAATGAGCTCTTCATAATTTTTAGTCCGAAGAGACATTCATAATTCTCAAAATTCGAGGTTGCTTAAGATTAAAGCCAGGATGAAGAGACTCAAAGAAAGTAACTCTCTTCAGCAAAGAAAGTCTGAATTTTCTCTAGATAGTAAGAACTCACTTGACTCGTAGGTTATAAAGAAAAGAACGAGAAGCAAGACAGAGAGTCTTCTCTAAGACCTTCCTTTTGTAGTCCAAATTTGGACTTTACTCCCAAAATTATGAAGAAGGCATCCAAAATACTTCAAGAGCCTACAAATGGATGGGAGTCAGGGATTCATGTCCTAACTAGTGCTCAGAAGGCAACTGATACTTCCTCCAAAGGTATGTTCTCCTCTAACAATCAATAGGCAAAAGAAGGGAGCCAAAATTTAAAGACAAATTATTCAAAAGTATATCCTTAATTACACCTAATAGACCTCACCAGAAAAGATGAAAACAGAATTAAGAGACAGAAGAAGGGTGATATAAGCATGCAGGATTTCCTGCAGAAATCTATCCCCATTGGTAAACTTCTGAACTATCTCCTCTGCCACGTCAAGTTTGATCCAGATAAAGTTAACATTATTGACGACCTTCAGAAGATGACGGAGGAATAAGTTTCAACATTTAAAATCAGTAAGGGGTTTTGGGGTTTTGGGGTTTTGGGGTTTTGGGG